ATACACACATATACAGGCATTGAAGAAAAAGAAGAAATCGTTTCCTGCTGGCACAAATGCTTATCCAAGTGCTACAGCTGGTCTTCAGCTGTTTCTGAGAATAACTGCACAACAACTGTTTATTCCTTCCAGGAAAAAAACAACATTTATGTGGGAAAAGCTTATATTGAAGATAAAACACAGCACCAATCTGTTTTTGTTACTGAAGATAAGCTATAGGTCAGTCAGTCAAATATAATGACAGATGGACAATCTGTAATCAATACAGTCATTGAGGTAAGTGTTGCCAAAGCACTTTCATGGGAGCTGCAACCAGCTGAGGTCATCAGATCTGTGAAAGCAGAACAAACTCCTGTATTATATCCTCCAAACAGGCTTCACTTTTGAAATGCATGCAAATAAACTCAAAAATAGCTTTTGAATTCATAGTTCTGGATTATGGATACAATGTTTTGAGGGTTTGTAACTTATTGATACTCACTGTGCCTGAGCTTTAGTGATCCTCTTCCCCATCAATAACATTTCTGCCAGCCTTGCGACAGCAGGGTCAAAGTTCAAGCTGGCAGCTGCAACAACTTCTTCATCTCTGGATTATAATATAAACAGTGATGAACGAAGAGCGATCCTAATTTCAAGATATAAATCATTTGATGGACTTTTAAGGCTTCTTCATGAACTATTAGCTTACTTGATATAAAATGCCAAGAATTTTCTTCCCTCGGTGCTTCCTTTGAAAACAATGTCAGTGTATCCTTCCCCATAGCCTAGAAGAATTAAAACAGATGAAGAGTTAAAATAGTTTTATTAAAATATTATATTTGCTCAGAGAAGGGATATTTATCTTGGAATGATCACCTGTATATCAGATACTTTTTCCCAACAGCATGGTCCAGAAGTATGGCACAGTATTTATCACAACCTGTTGATTCAGCATGCTTAAGCCTGCGATTCTTCCTGTTGAGGACCACAACCACATATTTTACACATTACCACATACACTACAGGAATGATTAACAGAAAGAACAGCAGAATTGTTTGGTAGAAATGTAAAAGTCCTGATCAATTTAATTTGTCCTTGTTTAATAAATGTATTGAGAGTATTTCTTTTCTTAAAAATCTTACTGACCCCAAACTTTTGTATTTTTGAACATTTAGAATCTGATTATTATATCATGTGGTACCGTGAGCTTGCGCCAATTGCCAGTGTCCAATATTGACTCTCTTATGGCCAACCAAAGGAAGTGGAAAGGACACCACATCTCCAGCAGCAAAGATATCAGGAATGTTGGTTTTCATGAACTGTAAAACACAGCTAACATTAAAACTGTTATATTTTATAATTCAAGTTAATTATAAAAGTTAAAGTTACCTTGTCAACAACAACAGCACTGCGTGAATCAATTTCCACAGATGTTTCCTTAAGGAAATTAGAGTTGGGAATGACACCTTTGAAAGAAAAATAGATGCATTTGTTAGAAATGAATGTCTTTGTTTCAGTGACAACAACAAAACTGCTATGGCAAAATTGTTTTTGTACATACCAATGCCCACAATTACAATATCCGCTGGAAGGACTTCACCATTTTTCAGAACAACTTCCTTAACCTAAACAATTGTGTTAGATAGTTTGTTTATGATGCACTGATATCAGCTCTATGATTGTTTAGTAATACGCTGCTTCTTACCTTTCCGTTTTCACCCCGGATTTCAGCCACACCATTACTTGTATAGAACTTCACGTTTTTCTCTTCCAGCATCTTTAAGAGGAGGTTAATTACTTGTGACTGATGGTGTATGGCAGTAAATCAAAAAACAAAGAAAATACCACAATGTTCTCTGACCTGCATTGTCATTTTTCCGATATCTGGACCCAGTGATGACTGGAAAGGAAACTTACTGCTGCCAATAACAGTGACGCTGTCTGCCTTGTCAGACAGATAAGCTGCTACTTCCATTCCTGATAATTGATAATTGAATGTCATAATTTGCAATAATGTTCATGAAAGAATACTTTTGTTTTCTGTATACCTATGAATGAAGTTCCAACAATGATGGCCTTGTTGCCGGCACTCATTTGATGAATTTCTGTGGCGTCCTTATAGCTCTCCAGCAATTTCACATTTTCAAGTTCAGCACCAGGGCACTGCAGAGGTCTGGCCCTATAAACAAAAGTACATAATTCACCATTGGATTCTGCATCCAGATAAAAGGTCCATATGTCTATCACTACATATGGTGCTAAGCTTTTTTATGAGACGTTTATGTAAAAACAAACTATGATTAACCTGCCACCTGTAGAAATCAGGAGCTGGTCATAGTGTTGGTTGGTGCCATCACTGAAAGTCAGAGTTTTAGCCTCTGTGTCAACAGATTTTACCTTTGAGGGACAAATTATTGTTAATGCATGTGATCCCAGAAATTATCCTAGGAAAATAAATAAGAGATATAAAAGAAACTCACCTCTTTTTTAGTCCACACATCAATTCCATGCTCTTGAAGGAAATCATTCTGTCGTAGCAGCACATTTTCAATTTCAATGTTCATTGCCTAGAGGGGTCCATGAACACACCACAGCTTCATTAACAGTAAACAAGAAACTACACTGGTTTGTAAATTCAATAAGACAATGGGGAGCCATTAAAATCATATAATCTAGTTTTGTTTCATCTATGGTCCATGGATACCCACCTTGCTAAGCTTGGTCTTATCCAGAGGAAGCTGCTCATCTTTGGTAACCATTATAATTCTCCCTTCATAATCATTCTGGCGAAGGGTTTCTGCACACTGCAGTGAAGCTGGACCTGTAAAACACAAACACTCATAAATGTTGCATTGCCTACCATGACAGACTAGAGGCCTACAAATTTATTCAGGCCATGGTGGACAGACTTGTACATCGTAATTAAATTGTATTTAATACATTTAAATGTGTATGGAACAATGAAACATTTAGCTGAACTTGCTTTCAATTAACTTAATAATGCATTTTAGTAAACATATTTTTATGAATTTGCTGACCCCATGCAGTACACCACAAAACCTCTAGGGGGTGATGAACATCCAAAGATGAGGTGAAAGGTATTCTTGCATGAAATAAGCATTTAATATATAAAGGTTTGATAATGTATCAATTCCTCACCTCCTCCAATCAGAACAACCGTGTGACTTACTCCAGGCACTCTACCACTCATTTTCTTAACACGCTTTTTCAGTTTCTAAGAAGCGCCAAAAAAAAAAAAACAATTAATAAAACAGCAACTAATCTTGTACTGAACCATAAAATAAAATCATAATGGTGAGACTAACCTTTTTATCAGTGGTCACATAAACTTTACCACCCTCAACTTTGACCTTAACAGAAAAGGAAAAATAGATTTAAAATAATAATAATAATAAACTGATAAAGGTTACATTCATAATATATGGGTAATTCCATGAAATACAATATAAATTGTAATAAGTATATGAAAAAAAATTTTTATTTCTTAAGTCACATTACAATACAGTTTTAAAAATAAAGGTTCCAAAAGCTAGCTGGTTTTTGCAGTAATGCCATAGACAAACTATTTTTGGTTCCCCAAAGAACCTTTCAGTAAGCAGTTTTTTAAACAAACCATTATTTTTCTTAGTGTGAAAAACATTTTAATAATCTGAAGAGCCCTTTTCAACTAAGGACCTTTTGTACAATAGAAAGATTCGATGGATGTTAAAAGTTCTTTATGGAACCTTCAATATAAAAAAAAAATTCTTTTTTTTTTTTTAAGTGTATTCAGTCCTGAAGTATTTAATCATACTTTGTATTTAGGCAGACAATCCAGTCCAGGAAATTCTTCAATATCTCCAGTTTTAGTATTGAAACACGCTCCATGAAATAGGCAACGAACTCGATCTCCAACCAATGCACCTACAAGCATAGCACTGTTTTTATGATCGTTAGAAACACAATGCCACTGTAGACTTGAAAAAATAAAGGCAATGTAACCCGATAGTTCACAAGAATGACAAAGGTGAAGGACTCAGAATGATGAATTGAAGAAACAAAACATGCTTTCGTTGTACAGTGCTAAGTAAACATAGGGCAGGGTTATTTATTGTACTGTTTGTGTCAGACTGAGTCATTATAAGACTATACTCTACCTTTGATAAGTGGGGCGCCATAATGAGTGCACAGACCACCCACAGCAGTAAATTCTCCATTATTGCGCACCAACAGGATTTTATTCTGGTCCACCTCAACCTCTTTCATTCTGTAGGACAAACACAAGTGACATGGTGCCATATTAAATAAACAAACAGTATTATTATTATTTTTTATTAATTTATAATTATATAAAATAATTAATACAAGCATACAAGTCTCAAGTTCTT